CTAATTAGAATGTGTTTTCAAATTTATATGGAAATGCCAGTCTCGTATTTAATGATTACAGAGTATTCTATGTCGTTATTGTGTGATTATTTTTAGCCATTTCCCTGTTTGGGGGACATTTGAGAAAGTTACCAAGTTTTCTTCATATAATAAACAGTGGGGGGGGGGGACCCCAGTGATGGTGTGAGCAATCATTGTATAATTTTTTGTCAGAAAAACCTACTTCCTTTAAGCAGGTTCCTGAAAATGGAAATATACCCAATCAAATGTATATTTTTTTCTTAATTTATTGTTAATGTGCTCTCATAAGTATAATTTTTCTTTTTACAGCTCCTGCCAATTTGGGGATTTATCTTTTTTGTTTACTTTTGTTAGGATGATGGATAATGTAAAAAAATATAATTTTTTTGAATTTGAATTTTTCAAATATCTAGTGAGGTCATGTTTTGCATGTTGATAATTTATGGTCTGATCCTGGTATATTGCTTTTATATGCTTATACGAATTCTTTTTATGTTTGGAAGAGTAAGCTCTTGCATAATCTTCTTATCACTATAATAATAGTGTCAAGAACTCATCAAATGCCGGATGATAGTGTTGGGTATTTTTCATAGGTTATCTCATTTAATTATCTCTATATCTTTGTCTTGTCACAGGACACTGTGATGTGGTGGTTAAGAGCTGTATCAGACAGTCCTGGGTCAGATTCTGGCASTGTTCCTTCCTTCTGTTATGATTAGCATTTCCTTATCCATTCTGAGCTCTGGGTTCCTGTCCGCTATAATGATGATAATCACTGTCCCTACCTTACAGTGTTGTCATGAGGGTTGAGATGATACATACATGACATCCAGCTACTGTGGGCTGCATTTTTTCTCTCTTTAGGTTAATTCAGGTTTGTTCTCACATTGTTGATGTTTATCCCATCTGCACACATTCTTTTCTCCATATTGGTAATGAATTTTACTGGTTTTATTAGACAGCTTTGCATTACTACCTGACAGGCTACTATGAAGTATAGAGAGATTTAYTTGGGGTTATTTATCTTGAGGTTCAAATCCAAGGTCAGGCAGCCCACAGGTCTGAGCCTCTGGCAAGGGCAGCATGCTATGGCAAGAGCACATGTTGGAGCCAGTGTTCACATCTCAAGGCAGGAAAAATAGAGAAAAAGACTGGCATGCCACAATCCCATTGCATGCTTTTGATGACCTCTCCAACAGGCCCCACCTCTTAAAGGTCCACAGCATCCCCAAAACCCCCACCCCAGGGACCAAGCCTATACCTGTGGACCTTTCGGCATATTCATTCAAGTCATAGCAGGGGGTCTTTTGGCTAAGTGTTCCCCATTTGTTGAGCTCTTTCACAATCCTGCAAATCAGCACTGACCTCACCTTCCCCTCACTCCTGTAGCATCTCGTATGAATGTCCTGGGGCACTCGTCACACAGGATTGAGTTCTTCACATGGACATCTTCTCTCTGCAGACCCTGAGGTCCTTCCTGTCAGAACCCATGCCTTACGTCTGTATCCTCTATTTCCCCTGCATCCTCTACTAGAGTCCCCCCACACACAGGAAAGTCTCAGTCGTTGCTCAGCTCAAGAATGTACTTTATTTTGAAGATCAAGTTTGTGTTAAATTTGAGGTTGATTAGCTTTGCAATTTTACTTGATGATTTACCTATTGTGAACCACACTCTTCATATTTTGGAGACAGGTTTGAGAAGAAAAAATTGTTGTTCTTATGTTCTCAATCTAGGAACTATGCATTTTTTTCCTCCTTTTTACTTTATATTAATTTTTATTAGTATATTATAATTATACATAATATTGGGATTTTTTGTGACATTCATACATAYACATAGCAATATGTTGGAGAATGTAAGTGCACTTGAAATTATGATCTGTTGGCTGGGATTGTGGCTCAGTGGTAGAGCGCTTGCCTAGCATATGTGAGGCACGGGGTTCGATTCTCAGTACTACATACCAATAAATAAATAAAATTTTAAAATTCTTCAACTAATAAAATATTAAAAATATATTATGAACTATTCCACTTATTGCTCAATATTCATTGGTATCAAGTGAATTTTTTTATGTGTGAAACTTCTCTGCCTTCTACTTTCATGCTCTGTTTTCATGTGTATTAGTCCTCTTTTCATTACTATAACAAAGTACCTGRAGCAGACTAACTTTATAATGAAAAAAAGGGTTATTAGCTTTCATTTTTGGAGGCTAAAAGTCYAATAGCATGCTGCAGTCTCTGGCAAGGAATCTGTTTGGCTGCATCACCTCATGGCAGATGGCAAATGATGGGAAGCCCTTATGGGAAGAGAAATTATAGCAAAAAAGAGCAAGCCAGAGAGAGAGGAGTCCCTCAATCTCTTCTGAGGACATGTGTACAGTTGACCTGAGGATCTCCCTCAAGGCCCTACCTCTTAAAGGTCCCACCACCTCTCAGCACCTCCACATGAAGGATCAGGTCTCCAATATATGAACCCTTGGGGTACAAATCACATCCAAACCAAACACCACTACGGACCACACTGCTAGGAACAGGATTCAAACAAAACCAGTTACCTGACTCTTTCAGGAAGGACAGTAACACTATTGGTTTAAACGAAATTGGTAACTAAGGCTTAATAGACTTCTGCAAATTATTTCCAGTTTTCTGGCAAACCCACCTTCCGCTCACCAAAAGCTGCAACGTGCTCAGCAGAGAAGCCAGCTGTCCTGGRCTGTGGCCCAGGTGGGGTGCCGGGGACAGGGACTTGGCATCTGTAGTGTAATCCAGGGAACCCAGGGAGCCAAACAGCAGATGAAGTTGAGGCCGGTGTGAAATTCTGACCTGCAGGGTTTTGAGGGGAAACCAGAGGAGCCCAGGCTATTCAGGCTTCGGGGATGATCTTAGGACCCAAAGTAGAACTGGAAACTGTCAGAAGAGGCGACAGAGAGGGCAGTCCAGCCAGGGTGCTCCAAACGCCCTCTCCTGTGGTCCTGGCACTGGGTGTGTGTGTGTGTTGGGGGGGAGGTTAAAGATGCACAGCTCTCATGGGACGTGGGGCAGATCTGTTAGAGCTCGGAGAGCTCTGACTTACCAAGTGGTGTTTGGACTGGAGGACTTCCAGGTTTCAGTCTAGCTCTAACATGCTGCTGGCTTGAGTTCATCTTATTATTTTGATGGCATTTAACGTTTACATTTGTCACTGTGCTTTTGTATTTGGGGATCTTTTCCTAACTGTCAGAGTGCAGTTCTGACCCCGCGAGACAAGCTAATGATGCCAAATGAACTTCAGTGGTGATTTGGTGTTTCCAGCAGTTTTGGGTACTGAATATCGTGCAAAGCCAGATAAAAATGTTCCAATCCAGAAATTAATGCCTTTCCTGGAAGCATAAATATGTGAAAGCTTTAGTTCATTATTTTCAAATAGGGATTTTTAGGTTACTCGTCCTGGAAAAATACGTTCTGACATGGACAAGCAGTCTCTGGTTGGGGGACATTCTAGAGGCTGGTGGCCAAAGGTTGGGGCCCAAGAGATAGGATCCAAATTTATGTCCCCAGTCTGCCACTTGTTATCTCCTGATACTGGGTATATCACATAACCTCCCTGAGCATTAGCATCCCCATTTATAAACTGAGGACATACCTTCCCCAGGATCTTGTGTGGATTGAATGATCTGTCTACTTAAAGCTCTTAAGTTCATGGAGTGCTGGTGCATGGAGCATGTGCTTTGAGCACAGCTAACAGGTGCTTAAAATATAGTTTTTTTGGCAGGGGGCGGGTGCTGGGGATTGAACCCAGAGGTCTTTAATCCCTGAGCCACATCCCCAGCCCTTTTTTATATTTTATTTAGAGACAGGATCTCGCTGAGTTGCTTAGGGCCTCGCTAAGTTGGTGAGGCTGGCTTTGAACTTGGGATCCTCCTGCCTCAGCCTGCCGAGCTGCTAGGATTACAAGCATGTACTACCATGCCTGTCTGGAAATATGATATTTTGAGCAAGGCAATTTTTTATCCTGTCTGTCAGCTTGTCCTCTGGGGTCTCTAGAGTTTCATGTGAGCAGTAGAAGCAATGACTACTGTCAAGCTGAAGTGTGATATTCAGTCATGTCTCTCCCCTGTGGGCACACCTTGTGTGTCCCTGGTCCGGTTTATTTACTTTCTAGGTTCAATGAGGGCAGTTCAGGCCAAAACTGCCATCATCAGCCAGAGCTGTTTATTAAAGACTGAAGACCGAGCACCCTGTGCTGGCCCTGAGAACAGAGGGAGGCAGGGTGGACCACGGGCAGGGAAGGAAGGAATGGAAGTACAAGTCCAGCTCTGCTCTTGGGGAGTTAATGATCTCGTTGGAGAGAGACTCTATCYGGGGCATGCAGTATCCGATTTCCTCTAGGCATTGTGGCAATCCATTAAGTTAATCACCCGTTTTTACTARGTCCCATTAGTCATAAGATAGTGCGGTGTTGGTGCTTTGAGCTTGGCACACAGWCCTGGCCTGGAAATGCTCTTGCCAGGAGGGGGCTGGGCTGCTTKGGGGCCCTTTACCTTGTTAACACCTTTAGTCTGCCACCCCTCCAGGTCATCTGTGCACGGGGCTTTGTTGAAAGGCTGCTACGTTCTGCCCAACCCCATCTGCCCCAAATCCTAATCATGAACACCCTCCCTGGCAGCGCTGCCTTGCTGGGCTCCAGCCTGGCTCCTAAAGATCTCTGGAGTAAGTGAAAAGGAAGGTGAGCAGGAGGGTGGCAAATGCAGTCTTTGTCCAGGGGACCAGCCTTCCTGCTATAACTCGGGAACCTTCTCCATGGTGATGCCGATGACAATTCAGACAGTGAGAATGGGAGCCCAGCCAACCCTGCTGTTCCTGGGCGCACCTTTGTTCTCTGTGTCCRTTGTCTGTAGACCCTCACTACCTGCCCTTCTCCCTCCCTTTCCCACCCCCAGCATTTTGTTCCTTTCTCTGCGGGGCACCTCTTCTTAATGCATCTTCCTCTTCTCCTACAGGGGAATTGCTGAGCCAGCCCAGACCAGAAGGAGTGGCAGAAATCATTTGCCCCAAGAACGGCAGCGAGCGAGTGAATGTTGCCTTGGTTTACCCACCTACGCCGACTGTGATCAGCCCCTGTTCCAAGTGAGTTTGGAAAGCCCCCCTGGCCCCCGCTCCTCCCTCCTGAYCCTGACTCTGTAGATGTGATAACCAAAACCTAAGTGAAACCGCATCTGCACGAATATCCTGAAAAGTCCCTGCAGGAAGATGCGATTCTTCTGAGTGATGTCAACACCATGGCTTACGCAGCATGCTATTGCCAWTTTTTTACTTTCACTGATAAATTTAGAGCATCTTTTAACAGCTTCATTGAGCAATCACAAACAAGCCACACAGTGTGCTCATTTTAAAATGCCCAATTTAGCTGGGCACCATGTCTCATGCCTGTATTCTTGGGGACTCAGTTTGAGGCCAACCTCAGCAACTCAGTGAAACCCAGTTTCTAAAGAAATAAAAAGGACTAGAGATATCGTTCAGTGGTAAAGTACCCTTAGGTTAAATCCTCAGTGCCTGCCTCCCAAATTATAAAATGAAATGTTCCGTTTGTTGGGTTTTAGTATATTTGCCAGTATGTGTAATCAAAAGAACATTTGCCCCCAGATCATTTGTGCATAGCTCTTTGTTGAAAGGTTGTTAGGTTCTGCCGAACCCCAAAAGTGTCCCAGGTGAGTTTTTAACTCTGACATTGCAGAATTAAGTGGTTCTTACTTTAGAGCATAGTGAGGGACCATTACGTAAGAAAAGCCTATAATAGATTCTTTTTTGCTCTGGGGCTCTGCATTGCTAGTCCATCCCTGAAAATCAAGGACCGTGCAGCTTGCCACCACCCTTCTCCCCAAAAGGACTTAAAGACAGAATGCACCCTTGCACACTAATTATTGAGTAGAATGTGAGCTTGGCATTTTAGATGAAACCCACCCTGTTTGTTTGGGTTTTTAACTTTTATTCTTGTTTTTGTAATACCAGGAACCAAGAAGGCTGTTTTCAAACTGAGATTGAAATGTCCATGTACCTCCTACCTTGAAAAAGCAGCCACAGATCTTCTTGATCCCATCTCATTATCCGGGTGATATCGGCAACATGACTCATAGGCATGCAGCAGACTTTTAATTTTTCTGCTTGGTCRGCCATATAGAATTATTTTTTTCTACTTAAGTTTTCTATTTTTTTGAGGGAAGCTGGAAATTTTGCTGTTGAGAATTGTGACTTTTAATCTCATCTTGGGAAATTTCCTATCCAGCCATATGCCAGAGCTCTGTGTGGTAGGAGCCAAACCTTGTCCCCAAAGTGGCAGCTCTTTCAGGAGCTTTTTTTTTTTCTGCACAAATATGTTATTTATTTATTTATTCTAATTAGGTACCTATRACAGCAGAATGCATTTTGATTCCTTGTGCACAATTGCAGCCCAACTTTTCATTTCTCTGGTTTTCAGGAGCTTTTGTGGTGCTCTCTGCACCGCCAGGCTCTCCCAGTGGCATTGTCACACATTAGCAGCTGCACTGGAGGTGTGAGGCCCCCTTTTCTCCAAATGGAGCAACTTACTTGACAGAACATCCCTAATCCATCTTTGCTGGAAAATATCACTGAAGGGAAGCTCTTATCTAATGCTATATTCATAATCCTATTTAATCTAACATGTGTGCCTAGTATATTTCATCACTGATGTGACCCTAACCACACTGAAATCTTGACGTGCTTCCTAAATGTTAAAGGAGGATTACTTAGCAAGTTCCTATTATCCCCTGTCCTGAAMATATCAACATGCAGAAACTTTTTCATGTTTTTTTGAATTTGTTTTTTGAACTCGTGCATATTGRTCCCCCCCYYTTTTTTT